AGAACTAGACCCACAAACGTATGGCCAACTCATCTTTGACAAAGCAGGAAAGAACATCCAATGGAAAAAAGACAGTCTCTTTAACAAATGGTGCTGGGAGAACTGGACACCAACATGCAGAAGGTTGAAACTAGACCACTTTCTCACACCATTCACAAAAATAAACTCAAAATGGATAAAGGACCTGAATGTGAGACAGGAAACCATCAAAACCTTAGAGGAGAAAGCAGGAAAAGACCTCTCTGACCTCAGCCGTAGCAATCTCTTACTCGACACATCCCCAAAGGCAAGGGAATTAAAAGCAAAAGTGAATTACTGGGACCTTATGAAGATAAAAAGCTTCTGCACAGCAAAGGAAACAACCAACAAAACGAAAAGGCAACCAACGGAATGGGAAAAGATATTTGCAAATGACATATCGGACAAAGGGCTAGTATCCAAAATCTATAAAGAGCTCACCAAACTCCACACCCGAAAAGCAAATAACCCAGTGAAGAAATGGGCAGAAAACATGAATAGACACTTCTCTAAAGAAGACATCCGGATGGCCAACAGGCACATGAAAAGATGTTCAGCGTCGCTCCTTATCAGGGAAATACAAATCAAAACCACACTCAGATATCACCTCACGCCAGTCAGAGTGGCCAAAATGAACAAATCAGGAGACTATAGATGCTGGAGAGGATGTGGAGAAACGGGAACCCTCTTGCACTGTTGGTGGGAATGCAAATTGGTGCAGCCGCTCTGGAAAGCAGTGTGGAGGTTCCTCAGAAAATTAAAAATAGACCTACCCTATGACCCAGCAATAGCACTGCTAGGAATTTATCCAAGGGACACAGGAGTACTGATGCACAGGGGCACTTGTACCCCAATGTTCATAGCAGCACTCTCAACAATAGCCAAATTATGGAAAGAGCCTAAATGTCCATCAACTGATGAATGGATAAAGAAATTGTGGTTTATATACACTATGGAATACTACGTGGCAATGAGAAAAAATGAAATATGGCCTTTTGTAGCAACGTGGATGGAACTGGAGAGTGTGATGCTAAGTGAAATAAGCCATACAGAGAAAGACAGATACCATATGGTTTCACTCTTATGTGGATCCTGAGAAACTTAACAGGAACCCATGGGGGAGGGGAAGGAAAAAAAAAAAAAAGAGGTTAGAGTGGGAGAGAGCCAAAGCATAAGAGACTGTTGAGAACTGAGAGCAAACTGAGGGTTGATGGGGGGTGGGAGGGAGGAGAGGGTGGGTGATGGGTATTGAGGAGGGCACCTTTTGGGATAAGCACTGGGTGTTGTATGGAAACCAATTTGACAATAAATTTCATATATAAATAAAAAAATTTAAAAAAAAAATTCATATTAGGGGCACCTGGGTGGCTCAGTCGGTTAGGCGGCCAACTTTGGCTCAGGTCATGATCTCGCAGTTCGTGGGTTTGGGCTCCGTGTCGGGCTCTGTGCCAACAGCTTGGAGCCTGGAGCATGCTTCAGATTCTGTGTCTCCCTCTCTCTCTCTGCCCTTCCCCTGCTCATACTCTGTCTCTCTCTCTCTCTCTCTCAACATTAAATAAGCATTAAAAAAATTTAAAAATTGATATTAATAAGCAATATGCAATGAGTCAAGTTCTAAAACTTGTAGCCAAAAAAAAAAAAAAAAAAAAATGCTGGTTATACATTCCTAAAACAGTGTTACATGTTCTCAAGGTCCATTCAAGTAGTTTAAACTAGGAGAAATCCTGAAATTACTTTTAAAAACTATCACTAAAATAGGTAAAAGTAGGGGCGCCTGGGTGGCTGAGTTGGTTAAGCACCTGACTTAGGTGCTTGATTTCAGCTTAGGTCACGATCTCACGGTTGGTGGGTTCAGGCTCCGCATCAGGCTCTGCGCTGGAGCGTGGGGACTGCTTGGGATTCTTTCTCTCTCTCTCTCTCTCTCTCTCTCTCTTGCTCTTTCTGCCCCTCCCCTGCTTGTGCTCTCTCTAAATAAATAAACATTAAGAAACAGATTATAACAGGTAAAAGTAAATGAGACACCCATATACTCATGATTTAGATTTAACACTTTTTACCATAATGAATTACTTTTTGATAGAAGCACAAAGGCTTTTTTATACATGTCACAAAACTTAATTTAAATGTTTTCTTTGAACCAATAATGTGAATTCTAAATAGCAAATATATTAGTTATTTAACTCATTAGCTAATTTAGGGGGAGGTATGAACTATTACAAAACCAGCTCCCCGTTTCATGACAAATCAGAACAACTAATAAATGGTTTTAAATGATGATCAACAAAAGTCCCATGTCCACACACAACAGCCAGACATCATGGGAAAAGAAGGACTACAGGTACACAGAAAAACAAGTAATGAAGCAAAGCACAAAAATGGGAACGCAAGAGAGAACTGATTGTAAATGATAAATATTTTCATCACAGAAAAGAAATGCTAAAACTATCCTATAATTTCTATACACAAAAACTGAGAAACTGAAACTGGGGGATACTGATCATGACGCCATTCAGCAGGAGGCAGGCCACAAACTGCCACTGGATGGCTGAAGCCAAATTCAAAACAGATATGCTGGAAGGTTGAAACTGAGAAAACTAAACTACTAATTGTGTTCCTGGTACAGCAATTTGAGGATGAAAGAAAGGAAAATGGTATGTAAGTAATTACAACCGATGGAAGTGAATGGCCAGAAGGGCATTCTGTCATGCCAGTGGAGGACAGGGCAGTGCATGAGCACCTGGGAGTCAGACTGCCTGTGCTGGAGCCCTGCATCTGGCCCTTGGGTTTTGCATCAGTAACTGCATGATGAAGTCAATTTTGAGAAATGGTACGAGTGTATCCTATAATAGTCAGCTCTTCCTTGGAACTATATAATAGGTCTGATATTCTCCAACTTAAATGGAAGAAAGGGACCAAAAAAAAAACCCCTACAAGATCAAATTCATACAAAATGTAACTGCAGGCATGGTGCTTGGGGCTGGCGATAAAAGATCGAGAAGACATGGTCCTTCTGAAAGTGGTTACAACTATAATCTGACAAGGAAAAAAACCAGGGGGTCCAGCCAAAGTCCAGGTTTTCTTTTAGGAACAGTATAAAATCATTTATTAATATTTGCCTAAAGCTCAAAAAAAAAAAAGGAAAAAATTCCTCACTTATGCCCAAAGTTTTTGTTGAAAATAATCTGCAATGATGGCTATAATTTTAAAATGAAATTGGGCTAGCAAAAATTAGCCCAAAGATAAAATAACCTGGAGGCTGCCACTTTAGGCTCCGCATTTTTTTTCTGTCCTGCAAAGGAAGAAACAGCCAGTTAGTACCCTAATGGATTTCTTTTATTACAAACAGCAACGTGGGTGTATTTGACTTGCTCTTTTGTCTATAAGTGCTGCTTCCCTATGAAGCTTTTAGGCAAAAGAACACTTAATGAAAGCAACACCACTGTTCCTTGAGTTTTTAGTTATTCACAGAAGTACCTCCTGCCCTTGTTCCTTCTTTATGTGCATCCATCAATCAACAATCTCTAATATAGCTGTATAATCTCCAACTTTTTATGAGTCTCAAAAGCCTGGAAATTTGTGATAAACTGCATAGAAAGAAACATACATTTAAGTTTCTATCAGGTTTGAGAACAGACTTTAGTAAAAATATTTAAAATACTATGAATGACAAAGACTTAACTATTTTCAGGGTTAAATAAAACATTTGAGGTGGGGTGGGAGAAAGATGAGAATAGTAACTCTCATATGAAGTTGTACTCTACATCCTTAAAAATGTTCTCTCAATGACAGACACAAGGTCTTCAAGCAAGTATTTTTATTTTCTGTGCAATGGGTTGTCTCTGTGGGCCTGAATCTGATGAAAGGTTCACTAAGCCTGTGGTAAAAAAATACTTGCCATTACTCAAAGTTTTAAAAAATAATACAATAAAAATTCTAGGCACTAAGGTGGCATGCTTTATTTACAGACGACCATAAAGAATCATTAATTTTTAAACTCTTGCCTATCAATAAAACTCAATGGAAAACAGAAAAAAATCTTTTGTTTAATATTATAAATAAAAATGTAGGCATTTAAAGTGCAGTGCATGCAGGGACTCAGGAGAAAATTACAAACCATTAAAACTCTTCAAGAATTACAATGTAATTTTTGTTAAATTTAACTACAAAGCTGCAGGAGAAAAATTATTTAACAGAAAGGAAAATCATGAAGCATTCTCAGTGGCTTTTGCTAGGGAAGTAAAGCATTATTTTGGTAAGTGCTCTTTCTTATGCACAGGTATAATAACATCTTTAGTCTGATCCCCAGTACGTCACCAACACGGCTGCTGTCATTGGTGTTTATTCTTGTGAGGCCCAGAAACAGAAGAGAGAACAATTAGGACAATGAAAAGGAAACACATCTCCTGGAGATTAATTGGGCAGGAAGAGCTTTATTAATGAACTCTAAGAAAAACTGAGGACAGTGAATCAAAGTACCCAAGGGACTATATGAAGCAGAATAGGAAGGAGTTCACGCTGGGCAAAAGCCAGGAAAAGGACCTAAAGACAGAAATTTAAAAAAAAGCACACACAAATTCAGAGAAACACAGGTATCTTCCCCCACACTAGAATAAGATTAAAAAAGTATATACTCATGTTTTTCTATTCTAAATGAATTATAGTTATTGCCATGAAGAAAGCTGCAGTTATAAAGCAACTGACAAAAAATTAAGAAATTTGCGTTGAATCTGTTATCCCATGTGTTTATTCTAAGATGACTCTATACCTAGAAAAATACTGTCCCAAATCAACTAAAACCTAAATAAACACTTGGACAGGAAAATGAAACGAACTCCCTAGTAAAATAAAAGCCACATTGCTATAATTCCTTGTTTTTATGAACATTTTTAAAAACCTCTGGGATTAAAAATTAATCCAAGCTGCAAAGTACTCTGAAAAAAATAAATTGAAGCATTTGCTACTATTGTTTCTTGCCAACTTACTTCAAAGAGGTGCTGTAAAGGACTGGACTGAAGTTTTTCTTCATAGCCAAACAGTTGGAAGCCAGTTCCCAGAAGACCTAGCACAGTAATACATAAATGAAAAAATTATAAAATGGAACAATAGAGAACAGTCATGGCAGGGAACAGGTATAGCTATATCAAAATATCAAGCCCTTGTAATTATGTGTCCTGAGAGCACTACAAACACATGTTATCATCTTCTGCTACCCCATAAACTCAACATACTGAATCACAAATTCAATATGTTGAATAGATCACTGAAATTAACTTCAAAGACACCAATGGACTATGAACTCATCAAAAGCAGGGTCTAGGACTAACTTGTCTCTGTATTAACAGTGCCCACCACCAACGTAGCAGACATTAATAAAACAAGCATTTATTGACTAGCTACCCTGAGGAAGGACATCATGATGCTACCTGCTGGATGCTTAAATTCTGTGAAAACAAACTTATGGGAGGTGATTTCAAAACTTTCTTTTTAAACTTGTAGATGTTAAAATAAAACAAAGATAGAAGTTGGCTTGGTGTTATAATATTAACCTTTAAAAAAATAACTGGAGGAAAACAATAAAAGACAAAACTCAAAACATACCTGGTTATCTCTCCCATTCAAGGTGACCAAGCAACAAATATCTTTTATCTGGCCATATATTTGTCTTTTATTTGTCAATGATTTTTTTTTTTTTTTTGTCTTTGATGATAAATTCTGCATTCAGGGATAGTATTAGTTTGAGCCTTATTTTTTTTTTTAATAATAATTGAGGTAATAGACTGTAAGTACTTATATTCTTAAGAAAGATGATCACAATTTCAGTTTAAAAGGATATATGCAAGGGCACCCGGGTGGCTCAGTAGGTTAAGCATCTGACTTAGGCTCACCTCATGATCTCACGATCTCATGGTCCGTGAGTATGAGCCCTGTGTTGGGCTCTGTGCTGACAGCTCGGAGCCTGAAGCCTGCTTCACATTCTGCGTCTTCCTCTCTCTCTCTGCCCCTCTCCCACTCTCTCAAAAATAAATGAACATTAAAAAAATATAAAGTTCCTCCATGTCTTTAAAAAAAAAAAAAAAAAGGATATATGCAGACTGGGACCAAGAGCAATAAAAGGTGGTTGAATTATTTTAAAAACCAATCTGTTTCTATAACTCTTATCAATTACTAAGCTTCTGATCTAAAGGAGCTATTGCCAGTGGGCCTTGCTGACATACATTTTTCTATGGAGGCTCACCAGAAAGTGGGATGCTACTGAACTCAAAGATGTAAAATAGGGGCGCCTGGGTGGCGCAGTCGGTTAAGCGTCCGACTTCAGCCAGGTCACGATCTCGCAGTCCGTGAGTTCGAGCCCCGCGTTGGGCTCTGGGCTGATGGCTCAGAGCCTGGAGCCTGTTTCCGATTCTGTGTCTCCCTCTCTCTCTGCCCCTCCCCCGTTCATGCTCTGTCTCTCTCTGTCCCAAAAATAAATAAACGTTGAAAAAAAAATTAAAAAAAAAAAAAAAGATGTAAAATATTTTGGAGTTTTAGACAAGAACTAGAAGGATGACTTAAAAATGTACCAGCCCTATTCACTTTTAACAAAAAGCAAATGTCAGGGTCTTAGGAGCAGGGTGTGGAAAGATGCCCAGACTGTTGTAAAAAATGGAAATAGGAAAAGTAAAGGCCAATGCCCATTTAATATTCAACCTAATATATTTTCAAAAACTAATTTTGTGGTTAGAAACTATTTGCCAACTTTTAATAGGAGATAGCTGAAACACCCAAAATTAAAACTCTTCAACCATTATGGTTATAATGGAAATGGTGACAGATCATTAACCATCGTAGTCCTTTAGAGAAACATTGCGATAATAAAATCCTGTAGCTAAAATTGAATACCATAATCACCTATTTGCTAATGCCTGTGAAATGCATAAATCGGTTAAGCTAATGTAAAGTGGATATCACCTATTAAATCTGATTGTTGAGCCTAGGGCCCAAATCTCTGACTACCAGCTATTGTGAAATGCAGGTGGATTTTTAAAATGCAGGGCATGTTTTCAGATTCCTCCACAGTGAATAGTAATGGTACTATTAATTGGTTCAAGTTCTACTGTTTTTAGAGACTAAATGAGATTTTTATTAATTGAAATGAAAGAGAAGGTCATGATAAATCTGTCTTTTAGAAACTTTGATTTCATTTCACTAGCTATGGACAGAACAGAATAGTATCAGTAAACTTTAGAACTGGTAGTGCACATTACACTTTATGGAAGCTTTAAAATATTATCTAGTGTTTCTTTTGGATTGGTACTGTAAAATACTTCCACAGATTAATTCATCAGTCTTAGTGCTTCTTATGTTTCAAGTCCTATGGACACAAAGATAATTAAGACACAATACATGCCTTCAAGGAACATGTCATCTAGCAGGGGAGAGAAGCACACAAGTAAGAAAAGAGTAAGGCAAGCTTATTTGAGGAGAGCTGGATACTAGGAACTTGGTGATGCGAGATGTAGGCAAGGGCCTGTGTGTCAGAGAATGCCTTAAGAGGTGATACTAAGGCCGGATTTTATATTATATTAATTATATTATATTATATTATATTATATTATATATTAATTATATTTTATTTTATTTCATTTCATTTTATTCTATTGTTGAAAAAATTTATATTTAGATTTAGCCAGCTGGACTCAGTTTAGATGATCCCAATTTTGTTGGCAACATCCAAAGCATCATAGTCAGGAGCCAGTCGAACATATGCTTTCTTTTCTCCATCGGTCCTGATCAGAGTGTTGACCTTGGCCACATCAATGTCATAGAGCTTCTTCACGGCCTGTTTGATCTGGTGCTTGTTGGCCTTGACGTCCACAATGAACACAAGAGTGTTGTTGTCTTCTATTTTCTTCATGGCTGACTCGGTAGTCAGGGAGAACTTGATGATGGCATAGTGGCCAAGTTTGTTTCTCCTGGGGGCACTCTTTCAAGGATATTTGGGCTGTCCTTGGAGACGCAGTGTCTTGGGTCGTCGGAATGTAGGTGACGTGCGGATCTTCTTTTTTTTATGACTGTGGACACCTTTCAGCACTGCTTTCTTGGCCTTCAAAGCCTTTGCTTTGGCTTCAGCTTTGGGAGGGGCAGGGGCTTCCTTCTTTGCCTTCGGGGCCATCTTCATGAAAGCAGGCCGGATTTTAAAACACACATAACAGTTGCCAGAGATTTTTAATTTTTTTTTTAATGTTTTATTTTTATTTTTGAGAGACAGAGACATGGCACAAGTGGGGAAGGGGCAGAGAGAGAGGGAGACACAGAATCTGAAGCAGGTTCTAGGCTCTGAGCTGTCAGCACAGAGCCCGACACGGGGCTTGAACTCAGGAGCTGTGAGATCAAGACCTGAGCCAAAGTCGGACACTCAGCCAACTGAGCCACCCAGGCGCCCCAATAGTTGCCAGAGATTTTTAAAAGTTTGCATTTCACATGCTACCAGAACTTCACTACCTTAGCCAACTTCATTTATCTTGCCCTTCCTTGATTACAGGTATACTATGAGGTAGGAATGGTTCTGAGTAAACTCACAACATTAGAGATAATTTGTGGCATTCAACTGTTTGGTTCTCACTTGTCTCTTCCTCTCTTTTTTTTTTTTTTGACCCCCTGTCACTGCACAATTTAAGAAGGAGCCAAAGTATCCCACTTTCTTTTTCTTCTAGGCCACTGGCTCAGGGTATAACAACAGATCACCCTCCATGTATAATGCAGGGAGGCTGGACCCCATTTGTTTGAAAAATGGCAGAGCTGTAGCTGGAAGGGATTATACAGCTAGACTTACTTCTTCCCTGGTACATTCACTCCTACATTTGACACATGTAAGCTACTTTTTCTTAATAAAACCATAAAAGCCTGTATTTATTGCCTTGAATGTGTGAGGTTTCCTCCCCCAAAACAGATTTGTGTGGTGAGAATTGTTCTAATAAATAGGATATAAGACTTATGCAAAAGAGCCATTAGAGGGAAAAAAAAAAAGGTAGGAGGCACTACTCTACCCAATGGGTTCTGCCTATATTCTGCATGATCAGGTGACATAATTAAAAGAAATTAAACTTAACAGTGAGATAAAAGAGAAAATTTCAAACTCACTTACCAAACTGCATGCCCCAATCTCCAAGGTAATTTATTCTGGTGACTTGATGTCCTAAAGCTTCTTTGAGATTTGCTATAAAATTTCCTAGTAATCAATAAAATATACAGTTTCTCATTCTTGTTATCCATTTTGGCATAAGAACCATGTGTTTCTCTATTATCAAAACATAACAAAAAATTTTTTGATAAAATTTACCAATTCAATTTTTTTTAGTAAAATATTCACTATTGTGTTTTCATCTATGTTATGGAGCAGGAGTAGAGAATTATTTGGGGGGCAGTTATTCCAAAGAACCTCACAATTTTCATAAGAACATAATTTTCAGCAACATTAGTGGGAGCTGGGAACGTATGTTAGAATAACTGAATTGCAAAGAAAATAAGAGAATCTCAATAAGTAACAAGAGATAATTTTGCTAATCCCTATAGAGCCTAAACCACACTGGTGTTTTTTTCTCAACAGCTCACTCTACCTTCTTTCAATCACTGAAATCCACCTCCTCATGCCTGCTCCCTAAGAGCACATGGTAGTTCAAGAACTTCATCTTCTTCTACTGCTGACACTGGTTTGATATCCAACACCTGCTTCACTCTCCTCGTGTGCACTCATATGCTGCAGAGGCTGGAAACCTAAAAATTACATTTCTCAGAAACTTCTGCAGTTAGGGTTTCAGAAGTCACTTATATTTGGGCAATCAGATACACTTTGCATGAGACTTCGAAGGTGAACATGAGGTGAGTGAGAGGGGAGCTACTTCTATTTTTTCTGACAAGCACAGCTGTGGAGGCTTTTTCTTTTTGGTGGCATCACTAATAGCCCAGTGTCCTGTCATGTGACTTCCAAGGGAACTGAAAGGGCATGGGGCTGCCTGTTTTGCTTATATGAATTCTAGAAGATATGGCAGGACTAGTGGCAGCGGTAGCATGGCTGTTACTGGAAGTGACTGCAGAAAAGGCAGAAGCTCCCTTGATGAACACGCTCTACGGTATAATTCTGGGAATCATTTATGTCACTTCACCCAAAGCTTCTTCAGCACTTCCAACAACTTTGTAAACTATTCAATATCCTGTAATAAATTCTTGCCTGCTTTTACTACAGTAGATTTAGTTTTCTGCAAATAATCCTTCACCAATATGTATATCTGACTCAAATTACTGCAGCTACTCCTTTTCCAGCTTCCTTACTTCTAGACTTTCCCAGTCTATACAGTCCTAACAGCAAACTTCTTCCGCTGCTACTCAGATTGTATTCTTATTTTTAATTAGCATCTTATTATCTTACAAATCAACTAAATAACACAAACCTAAGCTTCTGGAATTAGACTAATTTGAAATCCTGGCTATGATACTTACTAGCTAGGTGATTTTTGGAAAAGTTACTTTTGGTATCTGAGTTTCCACATATCATGGTAAATAACACGGTAAATAAATTCTCAGGAAGTATTATCTCTTCCTGGCCCATTCCTACAATTTTGACCTACTCATGTAGCTTTTCTTACACAGTATATTTTTTATACTCTTTCAAAAATCAAACCCTATCATTTCCTCTCTTAAAATGCTCCAGGAGATCTCTCCCACAACAAGAGGTGATTCCGGTTTAATAATGATCTATGCCACAAAGTACCGATTGCTCCGATTCTTAAAAATATTCAAACGACAGGTTAAATGATCCCTAAGGCACGCAATAGACAGATTTCCACACCAGAAGACAGATCAGATGAGATACACTTCAAAGTCTCTTCAATTCTAATTGCAGTTTTTAAATTGGGCTACTGCATCATGTCATGTTTTAAATAAATGAAGATCTTAGCATATACACTGAAGCATTACAGCTATGAAGTACAATAGCAATCTTTCTTAGAATACTCGTTTCAATTTCCAGTTTTGAATGCTCCAGTTAGCACTCAAGTGATGGAGATTGAGTTTCTTTTTTCTAATTGAGATATAATTGGTATTATAAGTTTCTTTTTTAAAACAAAATATATAGAACAAAAAACCTGACAAGATTACCATCATCCACACATTAACTATTTTCATTTTTGCATCTTTCAGATCTTCTTCATATGCATGCATACTTTAAAAAAGTTAAAATCCTCAACAAACCTAACAGTTAAAATTAGTTTCTGAGTCAATCTTTTGGTTTTCAAACAAATTTTTTTCTACTTCTAAACCAATTTTTCCCATTTCATATATTAGCATTGGGCTCATATAAGTTTGAACTTTGTTTTTCGTCTTCTGGTTACTTAAGCATTAAACCATTAGCATGCATGATCAAAATATTGCCTCAAAGTCATGTTTAGTATTTTCTGTGAAATGAATGACACTCACCTATGATGGTAGAACGCAAATGTCCAACGTGAAATTTTTTGGCAACATTAGGTGAACTGCAAATAATTGCACAAGTTATATTTCTGTTCTATGAACAGGAGTTCTAAAATGAACTAGGTCATGCTTCTACAGTTTAACATAATTGGGGACTAAGGCCTTTGGTAATTCAGCTCAAAGTTAAGTGAAAAACTAGAAATTTAGAGCAAAGACAAATTAGAATTCAGAAAGAATTATTGAAACTGATCCTGTGATTCACAAGGTAGTATCATACATAGAAATGGCACACTTAGGAAGCAGATACATTTAAGGATTGATAAAAAGATGAAGAAATTCAGAGACATCGTTTTGACATAAAAACAAAGCAGATTATTGGGAATTAAGTTTAGTATACCAGTTACAAATCCTTTATCCTCTTAAAAATTACTGACTCCATAGAAATTTTGTTTATATTGGTAATATCTATCAACATCTACTGCATCAAAACCTAAAATTGAAAAATATAAAAATATTTATGCATAAAACTTCCCAGAATAATTGGAAATGTGGTTCACCACTCCAAATTCTCAGTCAACACATTTATCACTTCTCTGTATGCTCAAGAAGTTGTAATCAATAATTTAACAATAGCAAATTGCTTCTAGAGCACTAACTACCTGACAGGCACAATTTCATGCACTTTATATGTATTAATCCTTTAATATTCATTCGAGTTGTGAGGTAAGGTACTCTCATCGCTTATTATACAGATGAGGAAACTGAGACAACAAGGAAAAAAGATAATGAAACAAATGTGGTAACAGCCTGATGCCTCTTGAATGTGGGTGATAAGCATATGGATTTAACTGTACTGTTGAGTTTTGTGTATGTTTGAAAATTGCACAAGTTTTTCAATATTGAGAAAAAAAAAATAACCTGAACCCACTTGATTAAACATGGTAAAATGAGAGCTTAATTTTGGTCTGTCTTCAAAGCCTTATACCAAGAGTATTACAATTTAAAAAACTGATTCTACATAAATATGCATGCAGTTGTAAAATTAGAAAACAACAAGAATGTTCATTTAATTATTTATAAAGTAAATGTCCTTCTAGAAATTAAAAAATAGGGAATCTTCCATTTCCCACCAAGACAGAGTAACAAGGATTGGATTTATCCTTCTGCCTTAAACAACCAGAAAACCAGAAAAATGTATGAAACACTGGTTTTATGAAACCAGACACTGAAGGGCTATGATCCCTGAGAGAATGAGAAGTAAAGTGACCTTGAGCAAATGTGTGAGCTAAAGCAGAAAAATCTATGGCATGGAATGTTTATATTACAAAAGAAAGCCTCCAAACCAATAAGACATCTAATTTTCTCCTTTAAGAAACTAGAAAAGGAAGACCAAAGTAAGCAAAATAAAAGATAATATAGATAAAAGCAAAGTCAATAAAATAGAAAAAAAAAAGAAAATATTCTACACCCTAATTGCAGTGGTAGTTACATGATCTGTACACCTTTGCCAAAATTCATCAAATTATATGCTGAAATGTTAAACTGTATTATATTGTGCATGATTATATTCCAACAAAGCTGATTTTAAAAAATGACAACAGAATAGTATGAAACAATAAAAATAATAAACCACTTCATGCTCTGTCTCTCTCTGTCCCAAAAATAAATAAACGTTGAAAAAAAGAAAAAATAAAAATAAAAAAAAAAGAAAAAAAGAAAAAAAAAAGAAAAAAAAATAAAAAATAAAAAAAAAAATAAACAAGCCCTGGATATACTTCAAATATTAAAGGAATACAAGACATTATTTAGTGAAAAAAGTAAGCAGCAGAACAATGTGTAAAAACAGACTATCTCTAGGTGGGTAAACAGGAAACTAGTATTGATGAATGCCCATAAGGCGAGAACTAAGAAATGGGAATGGGGAAGAAAATTCCTTTTCACCGAATATTCTTTTATAATCTTTGAATTTGATCAAGCTAGTTATTTATATTATCTTTTTTTTTTAAAGTTTTCGCAGAGTTTTTGTATTGTTTTCTCTAGGACTGGAAGAACTGCATCTACCTAGGTTTTCAGCCTTGACAAAATGTCCCTTTTGAACCATCAATATGCTATTCTTTGGTACGATTTTCCTACTCAGAACAAATACAATGAAACGGAAAGTACAAATTCGAGTCCCTTGGCAACAAAAGTAGCCCTGGTGAACGACTTATAATTTGGATACCTTACTGAATCTTGTAAAAAAAAAAAAAAAAAAAAATTATGTAATTTCCTCAATCTTTAAGAAAAGACAAATATTATTGCTCTTAATTTCCAGATAAGAAACCAGGAAAATAAACTGTCCTATCCAAGACTGTCGAGTCAGTTACTAATAGTCACAACTGGTAACCCAATCTCTCAGATTCTCAATTTCCTAGAGGTCCTCAATCTGTTTTGTGAGAACACTTCACACTGGGGAATAGCAGGGGATGGGGAAGACTGAGCTGAGAAAGAAGAGGAAAGTACACCACTGCTGACTGTTCCTGAAAGTTTGATCTGTACAAAATAGGAAAGGCTGACTTTGCAGAGAGGAGGGAGGCAACAGCAGTTAGCTTCAAGTCTTATACCACCTACTCAGCTAGAGCTCATATATGATGGACAGTCCTCTACTCTGGCATTTTATCACGATACTCCTAGATCTGACAAAATATATGAGAATCAATACTGTATGTCAGGGAGGCAGTAAAGGTAAAGTATACAGGCTTCAGAGTCAGAGTTAGTCTATGGCCCTGAGCAAGTTACTTAACCAATTATTACCATCAACACCTCAACTTAGAGGGCAAGTTTCTTGAACACTTATCTCTTGTTTTTTGGGGGTAAAGTTACCCTATTTAAGATACTATATATTTAAAAAGCTCTGTTCTCCCACCTCTCTCATTTTCAGAAGAAATTCTTTATTTTATTTTATTTTATTTTATTTTATTTTATTTTATTTTATTTTATTTTATTTT